GGGGGGGGGGGGGGGAGGGGGGCAAAAAACCGGTTGTCCGATTTTCCGTACAACTCCCCCTCGACCGTCTCCCGGTCCGGGGGAGACGTCTCCCAATCGGACAGCTGGTAACGTAGCATTTACGTCAAAATCTTTGATAATAAAGTCTACCCTTGTTGGTCTTTTGTGAAATCCTTTCACCCGAAAGGATCTTCAGAGTTGCGAATTTTTTGTTCTGGTTCAAGCATACTCTACTATTCAAAGTTTTTCCAAAAAAAAATCGTTACCAACTACGAGTTATTGTTCATGGTATAATTAAGAAAAAGTTTGAAGTTAATGTCAGGCGGCAACTGACAGTAAGGGTTACGTATGACGAGGGCTTAAATAAGCCAGGCATAAGATCCGTGTGTGCTACATTAGTGATGAGTGCTGATGTGGATGATGAATGGAAAATGATGGTCGTCATACGGATGATGAATGTTTCGTTAAAAGATAAAAGGGTATAGGATCTTATGTTCAATTTTAGATTAATTGTTAAAGCGGTGAGAAACAATTGTGTATGTTCGTTGCTATCAGAAACTTTGCCCAGGATGAACACATATGCTTTCGTCTTAATTATTGGGAGGAGGTCTCATGTTGGCAGAGGAACAGTAAAAATGTTGTACGACCAGCTAAAAGCAACGTGGTGGGTAGGTTCTGGGAAGTTACCGTGATTTTGACGGCAACCAACAATTTTCGACGACGGGCTGATGTCGAGGTATAACCCTATGATCTGTGAGACTTGGTCGGGGGAGTGGTCGAGGGAGGAAGACACTCTATCCGTTATAACAACGAGAGTCAGAGTCGGGGCGGGTTGTGCTGCCTTATATCACTAGCTTCAAAGGGGGKTTGAGACTCGAGAAGTTATTTACGAGGACAGAAAGGCTGGAACTACGGATGGTTTAGTCTGTTAGAGTGGGTATAGGGAAAGAAGGATGACAGTTTCGTTTTGGGGAGTTGTGCAACCCCTGTGTGGACAAAGGGTATAGCATAGGCTTCGTTCCGAAACTTTCTAAATTTGAGTGAAAATCTCTCAAAGCCATTGTAATACTCTTATGTTTCATTTGGGTGTTGGAGTAGAGTTGGTGTTCGACCAACAAGGAACAGGTTGTTGGGAAGGATGGGGGCAAAATTGGGGGAAGGATTAGGGTTTTTAGCAGGGAGTCTGTCCTTGAGTGTTGCTGAGTATGGTTTGGAGGAGTTTGTTGGGACGACGCAGACCGGTGCCGAGGCACTGCCTTGTAACCTGATGAGCGGGGGTGTGAGGTCTGGGAAGTTTCCTTCTGGGGGAAGGCAACCAGCAACCTCGACGATTGGCCGTTATCAGGGTATAACCCTGTGTCCTGAGGGGACTTGAGGCTTAGAGTTGCCGAGAGAGGAAGGCACTTTTTTCCGTTAAATAGGACGAGAGTCGGAGCTGGGGTAGGTTGTGTTATCCTGTATCTCTAGCAGGAAGGAGGGCTTGAGAATCGAGAAGTGTTTTACGAGGGCAGAAAAGTGATAGTCAAGGGGGATTGTTTGTTAAAATAGTTGTTCCTTGTGAAGAACAGGGTATGAGGCAGCTCTATTATAAACTTCAAAAATAAAAAGTGATTTCGGTAAAAAAAAAGAATGTTTTAGGATTCTTGGGACTTCTAGCAACTCGCTTTAGGCTGTTTGATACTGTTATATTCATGGATCCGCGGTGTTCAATGCCAGAACGACACTAGCTAGTGCTGGGGTGTTGCCCTGTAACCTGCTGATTGCAGAAGCGAGAGGCCTGATAGAGAGATCTCGGGATGCTTTGGGGTGGGCATTCCAAGGGACAACCTAGGGTAACTGTTGGGACGACGTTGGCCGGAGCTGGGGCGAGTCGTGTTGCTCTATAGCCTAGCCAGGTGGGGGTGTGAGGCGTGAAAGAGCTCGACATGGAATAAGACATTGTTCAACAGTGTTAGAGAGTCTGGTTTGAGAGTCTAGGGGTTCTGAGCATTCGAAAAAAAAGTCAGTAGTCATTCTTATTTTTTCAACCTCTTCTATAATTCTTTTGAAGTTTTTCAAATAGTTCTCAGATTCTCAACCGAAGCCGGGTAATGGCCCCAGTATCTCAGAAAAAAAAAAAGTATTGAGAATGCCTTAGGATTCTGGACAGTTCTTGCAACTCATTTTAAGGTTTCTTTAAGGTTGTTATATTCATGGATCTGCAGTTTTTCGATGCCAGAACGACGCTGGCTGGAGCTAGGGGGTTGCGCTGTAACCTGTTGATAGCAGGAGCGTGAAACCTGGTAGAGAGATCTGGGGATGCCTTGGGTCGGGCATTCCATGGGAAAACCAAGGGTTGTTGTCGGGACGACGCTGGCCGGTGTCGAGCGCATCGGTCCGGCACCGCACAAGGCAACGCGGGACCCTCCCGGCCGCATCACGTAGGAGTTGGTTTTAATCATTGTCGCAATTGTATATGGAGCTTCCGCAAGCCGCTCCGACCGAGTGCGCCAGCCTTACCTTTCGCGAGCCCCTACGACAGGATAGGGCCTACGCGAGGCACGACTTACCTCCATCTTACGGGAGTTGTCAGCCCCCTTCGTTGGGCGTATCCCCGTCGAGCTACCAGTCCACAATAGGAAAGTTAATCATGTGCAATCGCAGAGGTGGACCAGCCCAGGGTGTTTCTCGTTCGTTGTAGCATAGGGGGTACGTGCGGTAATACGCCTTTATCGAACCCGCACGTGAACCGGCATCTTGGGGGGCTGAGGTTCCAAGCGCGACTCGTCGTCGGTCGACTAGGACGCATCCCACACACCATGCCCACACCACTCTAAAGAACATTTAAAAATAAAATACACACACACACACACACACACATACATATATATATATATATATACAGAACGACACTAAACAAACAACGCGACAACACTGCTAGTCCCTTAGTAGCCATCCCATAACTTTCCGATGCGAAAATCGGATAGTCGTCACGCGCGAGGCTTAGTATAAAACCGCGCGGACGCAGGGCTAACTCATATCGATTCGCAATGCAAGCGTACGCAAGCGATCGCCATGATGGCATACTATGTAGTACCCATACTCACTCGATCCTTGTTAATCTCGAGGGTCATGTTCGACACTCAAGTGTCGGCTGACACGTGCCTTGAGGGACTGATCTCTCGACGCCGGATAACCGCCAAGTGCGGTTGAGAACCACACCCTCTTCTACACCCTGCGGAGAGTGGGTGGTACACAAGTTCATACCTATGGTGACACTCGTCTCTTATTGTCCTGGAGACCAACTTTATCATCAAGGGTCTGGGGGGAAGTATAGGGGTTTGACTTTGACGGCTGCCACGGATTACAACGTCCAACTACAAATTCTAAAAAGCAAAAGGATAAAAGGGGATCTCGCTTTTCTTTCAAAACCATAATCTGTTTAACCCTTACGCACGGTCACAGTAGGCCGCGTAAAAACACCCAAACCATAAACATATATATATATATATATATATATATATATATATATATATATATATATATATATATATCATCACAAACAGAACTGCCCGGTAAACCATAAGCAGAGAGAGAGAAGAGGACAACAAACGAGGGGTGTGACAAACTGTTTCGTCGGAGTTTCACTGACTCATCAGGAGGCTGAACCCTCAACAGTCTGCAGAATCCCCTCACTAATTACACTGTAAATGATAATCTACCTTAACCAAAATCAAAGTAGAATATCACTCACCCACACCAGATGGAAAAATCTACAGACTGTCTGTTCACACCCCATCACAAGCCAGCAAAACATCCACAGAACAAAGAAAGGTCTATCACAGCCAAAAAATACACTCCAGACACGTCGTTGGCACTAGAGGTACAGCATGGCCGCCTAGTAACGGCCCCGACCACTTCCTATATATATATATATATATATATATATATATATAGTGTAACCGGCGTTTAGGACAGGCCGAAC